AAAATAATGGCAGGTCACTGCTCGTAAGAGTGAAAACTATCTAAGAATACCTGAAAATATAAAAGACAATGCAGTTGACATCTTTGCAAGCATAGGAAAATTATTTTCTCTTCAGGGCCAGAAAAATATAATGGAATAATCTGAGGCTGACTACCCTTGTGCAGTTTATATAACCTCTCAAATCCTCAGCTTTCTTATCTGTCAAAGGGGGATAACAACTTAAACCTTTAAATAATGTGGAGCTCAAATGAGGAAACATAAGTAAAATACCTAGTTCTTCTGGGCATGCCTAGATTCCCAGTTACTCAGGAGGCTGAAGCAGGAGGATAGAGGATAGAGTGAACCCGGGAGTCTGAATCCAGCCTGGGCAATATAGTAAGACCCCATCTCTTTAAAAAAAAAAAAAAAAATAGTACCTAGTTCTTGGCAAACAGTGTTGGCCCTCACTGAAATTTCAGTTTCCCATTCCTCTCTCTAACATGATTTGGTGATTGAGCTTATGGAGTTAATACATATACTAAATTGTGTCGGATATTTACTACACTTGCAGGAACTTTTTATCAAGTCTTGACTTTGAACTGTAAGGATAAGAACTAAGTGTTCTATCATTCCCATTTAGGAACAAGTTGATAATTTCACTGGCTTAATTAGATTTTGTGGATGTCAGAAATTAGAGGAATCGTTTGATGCCATCAGCTTGCTCTCTGCATTCAGATGAACTCTGTATCCTCCTCTAGGTTTGCTTTTCCCACCAAGGAAAGGCACAGCAGTGCTAACAGTGGCAAACTTGGCTGTCTTCCTCCCTTTTTGGAGAGTGGCCTGGAAATAAAGATTGCAAACCACTACTACTGAAGATTATTATTGCAGGAGGAGTCTTAAGGGTTTTTTGTTTTTGTTTTTTAAGTTGTTCTTTTGGATACCTTGTTAGGATGAGATATTGATGAATGCCGGAGAGAATTTTAGGTACCATTATCTATGAGAAGAGAATTTTTAAAAGATACCTATATTTCCATGATGTTCCCATACTCAGTCAGAGAGCTAATTTCTGAAATGTATCTTCTTATATTGAGTTTCTTCCCCCTTCCCAGATACTGTATTATATACAAAAAATATTACAAAAAGCATATGTTGGGTTTTTGGTTTTGTTTTGCTAGAAAACTTGCTAGTTGAATTTCATTTGTGCCATAAAGAAACATTAGAGATTGATTTCTTAAAATGTGATTGAATTGTTCTAATCAAATTCATTATCTTCACCTTCATAGCTTACAGGGCTCTTGTAAAAAGAAAAGCTTAGTTACAGGGGGAAAGACAAATAAAGCTATAGTTTCAGCTTACCAAACAATGCTCACTTCCAAAAAGACATGATCATTTTTAGCTGAAGGGAGTGATCGGATACAGAGGTTACCTAACGTTGCTCTGCCTGCTTCACTGTCTTCATGTCAGCTCAAGTATAGAGCTGTGCTGCTGAAGACACCGATTTCATGCAGATTCGTTCAGAATGTCCTATCAGCCCCTTTGCCTGTCAGGTATGAAAAAGGAAACTACCATGCTCAGATGGCTTCCTCTGACTCACTCCTTGTACGTGTTGTCTTTGTGTGTGCTGGTGTCTTTCTTCATCTCTGTTTGCCTTTCTTCCTTTCTTTCTGTAGGTATCTCTGTATTGTGTACTCTGGGTGTGTGCAAGTCACCCTGAGTGCATGTCTCTTTCTTTGTGGGTGCTGGTCTGTCTCTTTGTGTCTGTGTCTTGCATATAGATCCCCCTCTTTCTCTGTGTACTTCCCTGAGTGTCCATGTGTGAGAAAGTCTTTGTGTGTTTCAAACATTATAGAGTCTCCTTTCTTAAGCCTTGGCTGTTTTGCTCTTAGTATGTACCTGTGTAAAGTAGAAATGTAGGAGACATATGCAAGCTTACATACAGTCTTAGACTGTAAACATTTGACCCCCACCTTTTTGAGTCTTCATCCTTTATGTTAAACATTGGGGTGAAGAATAAGGAGTGGGGGTATGCAGAGGTTGTAGGGGAAAAAAATCTTGTGTGTGCAAGTGCCGATCCCGTTGACCCCTTTGAAAATTGAAATAATGATAATGCGCGTCTCCTGACTGCATCAAAGTATCAGCACATCAAAAGCCAGGAGGCATGAAATGCAAATGATAAAGTGAAAGCAGATGGATTGTGCATGATCGCCTGATGCCCAATGAATTTTAAAAGGTGCTGGTTTGCAGGAAGGGGGGGTTGGGGGGTTTTGGGGGGGACTGAAATAAACACGTTATCCCTGCAATTTTTTTTTTTTTGTTCTTGATGCTCACTCCTGACAATATTTTTTCACACTTGAGTGAACACCCACTCTCTCTCCCCCCCACTTTCTCTTTCTTTCTCTCTCCTCTCCAATTCCCCCCCCACCCCCACCTCTTACATGTCTCAGGTCATGTCGCCGCAGCTCCGGTGGAAATAATAAGATATAAACCACGAGGTTGTTATTTGCATAGAAATAGCATGGAGCCCCAGGCAGCAAGGGAGAAGGACACAGGGATCATTTGTCTAAAATTTTAATGAAAACTTTTGCTGAGGCAGAGATTTTTAAAAACTTTTTTTCTCCCTGCTTTTCCCCTTCCTTCCCCTACCCCCTAAACCCCATCATTGATTTTACTTAACGTGGTTCAGTTTGAAGAGAAAAGGTTGACACTCCACATGTCATACTCCCATAATATAGCAACCTGTAAATTGTTTGTTCCTTTAATAGATATGAAGCTGAAGAGACACGCATTTTCAACTTAATACATTGCATGTGTGCATTAGGCTTTTATGGCTATACTCCATCTTGGCATACACATGATGTTGCCTGTCATTAGCCTGCTTGTTTGCTTTTTGTTTTGAGACAGTCTCACTCTGTTGCCCAGGCTGGAGTGCAGTGGTGTGATTTCGGCTTGCTGCAACCTCCGCCTCCTAGGTTCAAGCCATTCTCTTGCCTCAGCCTCCCGAGTAGCTGGGACTACAGGCGGGTGCCAGCACACCTGGCTAATTTTTTGTGTTTTTAGTAGAGATGAGGTTTCATCGTGTTAGCCAGGATGGTCTCGATCTCCTGACCTCGTGATCTGCCTGCCTCAGCCTCCCAAAGTGCTGGGATTACAGGCGGAGCTACCATGCCCGGCCTAGCCTGTTTTTAATTCATTTACACCTTCCTATCTTTTGCTTCCAAAGACTCTTTTTAAAGGATTTCTTTTTATAGCCAACAGTAGTAACCTGCATATAAAATAAATATTTTCTGGGTTTTTTTTTCTTTTACTTTTGGTGGTTTTTCTGTATACTTAGATCTTTTATTCATGGACACCATCCTTTGCCACTGTATTTTTTGTTCCAAAACCAGAAAGTGTTTTCTACCTTTGTGTTTTTATCCTTTCCCCCCTGTGAACTCACTATTTGTGTATACTCTTTTCCATGTCTGTCTTGTTTTATTGCCTGCAGTTATTTGTAAAATATTCAAAATAGTACCCAAATTGAGATGAGATATAGTATCTGGATTTTCTTGAGTGTTACTAAGCACATTTGACATTAGGACTAAAGGCAGTAGGCTGGTAATTAGAAGTAGCCCAAGTGGCTTTATTTGAAATTCACCGTCAAGAATATCTGTCTGGTTCTTTGCTATCTTCTGGAATGGGCTAATGGTATCAGGGCCATATTTTGTAGACAGGAAGGCAAAAACAGTAGAAGGGAAAGTGATGTAGTTTCATTGACAGAGAATAAATCAGGGTCAGAAAAGTGTTGAAGAAAGCTCAGGCCTCTTTGCTTAGTGGTCTATAAAACCTAAGAGAAGGTGGTCTGGTCATTTTCATATTTGTTCAAATGTTGTGAGAATGATGCCATTAATAAGAGAAGCTTCTAGGGGCTTGCTATTTTGTGCCACTTAAGGTGTAGATCATAGATTCCTAACTCTAAGAACTGTAGGCTGTGGGTGACATTCCTAAAAATGCCTCACTGAGTGGCAGACCTGATGGGTGTGGCAAATTACCCTGCTTGAAGGGAGTCATGCTGGCCTGGCAAAGGCAGTAACCTGTGTACTTGGGGAACTGGTAAGATGTACTCTTAAAGAACTGAAATGATTGCAGAGTCATAAACTCCTAAGTTCAGGTGCCACTGGACATTTGCAGAGATACTCATATTTGCTTTCCCTACCCCACCACTCTTCCTCTCAGTTTCCTTTTTGCTTTATTTTTTTCTCCCTTTCCTGGTCTAAGTTTTTATTTAGTATGATTAACATAGTGTTAGGTGGCAGATAGGCTGGGAAGAACTAGTACTGTAAGAGAACACTGACGTGTACTGAACCTACTAGCTCTCCATCCATTGCCCCAGACTTGGGAAGAGAGAGCACATTATCTATGCAGAGAAATAAGAATATGCAGTTTATGGTTGTCCTCTGGACATTAACTGCCTGTGAGGGTAAGCTATATGCTAAAGGCAGTGATAGGCAGGTGATATGTGACTTCCTTGTGGTATTTTAAAGCTCTGCTTCTTTTTTAGAAAAAAAATATCCTATACTTTCATCCCCCTTAGCGAGATCAGGCCCCTATTTCCACTGAATCTGCCAAGAAGAGAGAAATTATATGATAGGTATGACTAGGGCTGTTAGTTTGGTAGGGGGCAAATTCTGCTAATCTTGCTTTTGAGAAGGTGCAAGTAAGTCACATTTCTCTGTGGATCTCATATATGTATTTTTCTGCAGCTATGCAGTATGTAATGTAGAGTCATAGCTGGCTCTGTTGGGCACAGTGCCAGAGTTCTCTCATGAGTAGAATTGTCTGTTACACCAGAGTCCTGCACTGTACAGTCTCCATGTTCACCCATGACTCTGTGACACACAACATGAAAGTCACGAAGGCTCAAGAAGGGAAGGAGAGATTACTTAGCCCTTACTGTGGGGTGAGCAGTGTTGTAGGTTTCACATGACTTAAAGACGTTACGATAGAGACAGCGCCGAGGCAAGTGAGAGCCAGACAGGCACTGGGCGACTCTGTGCCTTGCTGAGGAAAAACAACTAAACATGGGCAAAGAAGATCCTAAGATGCCAAGAGGCAAGGTGTCGTTATACACATTTTTTGTGCAAACTTGTCAGGAGGAACATAAGCAGCACACAGATGCTTCAGTCTGAGAAGTGCTCAGAGAGGTGGAAGACCATGTCTGCTAAAAAGAAAGGAAAATTTGAAGATATGCCAGAGGCAGACAAGACCCATCATGAAAGAGAAACGAAAACCTATATCCCTCCTAAAGGGGAGGTAAAAAAGAAGTTCAAGGATCCCCATGCACTCAAGAGGCCTCCTGTTCTATTCTGAGTATCGCCCAAAAATCAAAGGAGAACATCCTGGCCTGTCCCTTGGTGATGTTGCGAAGAAACCGGGAGAGATGTGGAGTAACACTGCTGCAGATGACAAGCAGCCTTATGAAAAGAAGGCTGTGAAGCTGAAGGAAAGATATGAAAAGGATATTGCTGCATATCGAGCTAAAGAAAAGCCTGCTGCAGCAAAACAGGGAGTTGTCAAGGCTGAGAAAGCAAGAAAAAAAAGGAGGAAGAGGAAGATGATGATGATGAATAAGTTGGCTCTAGCACAGATTTTTTTCTTGTCTATAAAGCATTTAACCCTCCTGTATACAACTCACATATTTTAAAGAAAAAAATGGAAATGTAAGACTATGTAAGATTTGTTTTTAAACTGTACAGTGTCTTTTTTTTGTATAGCTAACACACTACCGAATGTGTCTTTAGATAGCCCTGTCCTGGTGGTATTTTCAGTAACCACTAACCTTGCCTGGTACAGTATGGGGGTTGTAAATTGGCATGGAAATTTAAAGCAGGTTCTTGTTGGTACACAGCACAAATTAGTTATATATGGGGATGGTAGCTTTTTCATCTTCAGTTGTCTCTGATGCAGCTTATGTGAAATAATTGTTGTCCTGTTCACTGAAAACCACTCTGTAATCGCAAAAAATTAAGTTGCAGCTGTTTTGTTGACATTCTGAATGCTTCTAAATAAATACAATTTTTTAAATTTTTTTTTAAAAAAGGTTATGAGCATGGAGGGGCTAGAGCCAGGCTGCCCAGGTTTAATTCTTGGCTCCACCACCTACTAGTTGTGTGACCTTGGGCAATTTATTTACCCTCTCTGGGTTAGAGTTTTATTACCTGTAAAAGAGGGGACAATAATAGTATCTATGTACTAGGGTCATTGTGAGGATTAAATGAGGTAAAATATTGGCACCACCATCATCTTTTCTGAGGTGCATTTAGGGTTCCTTCTCATTGCAGTTTCTTATCCAGGCTCTGGAAGGGAAATACAAACACAATATTGTCTATGCTCTCTGATTCTTTGAAGGCAAAAATTCCTTCAGGAAAACGTTAGATGGCAGTCCTCAGTGTGGCAGTACATTCATGTGTTGACTTTCCCAATAGATGTATCTAATGACAATCAGCACACTTTGGAAAGGCATTAACGTGAGAGGCATGATGTTCGGTCATGATAGGGTAGTATATATGTCAGTCATCTGTATACAGGAGTCCCCAAGGACTTGTTGATACAATAGCCCATGATCACTCTAAGGATCAGTCTAGCAATTTGCATTTTTAAAAGTCCCTAACTACCTATTTTCACAATAGGCAGTCCCAACACTCCCATAGCTCCAGATGGGATCGCTCTCCTTTCTAAAGAGGGCATTTTCACTTCCTTTTCTTAGTAGTCCTTGCTTTAGCATTATGAACGAGTTCTCAGAAAGTATTGCCCAATGGACAGATCTCCCTAGTTTTCAAATCCTCCCTCCCTACACATACACAAAATATGGGTAAATCTGGCCCCATTTGGGGGGATTGTTTTGTTTGTTTTTCATTTCATAGTCCTCAAATTTGGTAGAAAACTATAGCAGGTTAAATTTGACTCCATTAGTGTGCCTCAGTGACCTGCCAGCAATCCTGAGTGCTCTAGTTTGGAGATCTTGCAGCTTGGATCACCACACAGAGCTCCACTATAGAAGTTACCTCTGACTCTAAGAGGTATGATGGCTTAGAGTCTAAGAATTTGGGAGACCCTACCACAAGTACCAACCAGTCCAGAGCTTCTAGATAAAGTGAAAGCTCTGAGACCCTATTTAGGGTATTGAATACAGGCTCGGGAATTATGTTTGACAATCTATTATGAATATGCTCAAATTTTTTTGGAGTTACAGAACCTTTAGATTAAAAAAAAAACTTGGCCGGGTGCAGTGGCTCAAGCCTGTAATCCCAGCACTTTGGGAGGCTGAGGCGGGCAGATCACCTGAGATCAGTGGTTCAAGACCAGCTTGGCCAACACGGTGAAACTCTGTCTCTACTAAAAATACAAAATTAGCTGGGCATAATCCCAGCTACTCGGGAGGCTGAGGTAGGAGAGTCACTTGAACCTGGGAGACAGAGGTTGCAGTGAGCTGAGATGGCACCACTGCACTCCAGCCTGGACAAAAGCAGCAAAACTCCATCTCAAAAAAAAAAAAAAAAAAAAACAAACTTTTGATGTCAGTCTTCTCCCTGCCATTTACTAGGTAAGCAACTTTGGGCTTTAATCTGTTTAGATGTTAGTTTTCCCTTTGTGAAATGGGAGGCATAATCCATTTCCCATCGTAAAGTAGAAAATCAGGTGGGTATGGTAATCCTGTAATCCAAGCACTTTGGGAAGCCAAAGTAGGAGGATGGCTTGAGGCCAGGCATTCAAGATCAGCCTGGGCAACATAGCAAGACCCCCTCTACAAAAAAAAATAGCCAGATGTGGGGGTGCCTGAGATAGGGAACCCTGGAGGCTTTGGCAGTGGCATCTGGGGCTGGGGTTGTGGCCGTGAACAGGGCCCAGGCCCTGCAGAGCTCATGGAGACAAGGCCAAGGACGAGGAATGGATGCCAAGTTGGGCCACCTGGTTAAGGACATGAAGATCAAGTCCCTGGAGGAGACCTATCTCTTCTCCCTGCCCATCAAGGAGTACTAGGTTCAGGGTGTTTGTTGTCATTGGGGATTACAATGGCCACATGGGTCTGGGGGTTAAGTACTCCATGGAGGTAGCCACTTCCATCTGTGGGGCCATCATCCCGGCCAAGGTCTTCATCATCCCTGCACCCAGGAGCACTGGCATCATCTTGACCCTGGTGCCCATGAAGCTGCTGATGATGGCTGGTATCGATAACTGCTACACCTCAGCCTGGGGCTGCACTGCCACCCTAGGGAACCTCGCCAAGGCCACCTTTGATGCTATCTCTAAGACCTACAGCTACCTGACCCCCAACCTCTAGAATGAGACTGTATTCATCAAGTCTTCCTGTCAGGAATTCACTCACTACCTTGTCAAGACCCACACCAGAGTCTCCATGCAGAGTACCCAGGCTCCAGCTGTGGCTACAACACAGAGTTTTTACATAAGAAAAATGAATTAAGCCCTTTTTTAAAAATAGAAGACCAGAGGATCTCTTAATCTTAAATTCTCTTCAATATCTAGTATTCTGTGATGCTATAAAGATGCATATTGATCTGTAGCCAGGGAACTGTTTTAGGCTGGGGAGTAAATAGATAGGGGGTGGGGAATTTTAAGTTATTGCATATCAGGGCATTATATATTAGATTATATATTAATGATATGTAAAATTATTACATATTCATGAAACCAGGTATGGAAATTGGAGAGCATGATGATTTAAAATTTTTAAACTTTGTTTTTATCCAGATTACAGAAAAGTAAACATTATATGTCATTACAATCACAAGTGCCTTTAGAATTATAAGTGTTGAGAGTGAGAGGATCCTCAAAAGTTCAACCGCACAACTGTTGCATGAATCTCCTCTGTGAAACTGTTGCTTAATATTCATCCAATTATGTTTGAAACATTCAACTGAATGGGAGCTCAGTACTTTTGGAACCAATCTCATTCATCTGTATATTCATCTTTGAGTTATTTTTTATATTTGGCTAAAGTCTGTTTCCCTGTACAGAGAGATTAATCACTCTTTAAAGACAGTGTTCAAATTTAACAAAGAAACTCCCAGTTTTATGCTATGACCAATTGGAAATTGAATGGAACCAAAATCTTTCTCATGTACTTTTGTGTTCAGAGTCTGGTCTTGTCTCAAGAACAAATGTAGTGAAGATGAAAATGCTATTCCAAGATAGAAGAGAAATTTGATTCATAACTTTGCCAGTTTAAAATGTGAAATAAGTAGAAGGAACAAAAGCAACAGTTAATTCCTCTTGGAAGTACTCCTCAGAACCTTAGGGGTCTTCCGCAGTGTCATGCAGTACCTTTGGAGCTCAATTATCTCCTGCTTTCTCCTCATCTGCCTTCTTAAAAGCCAGGATCCTTGTATAAGGTTGGAGGATAGTTCTTCTTGACGGCTATATTTGTAGATACCAGCTAAAACTCATTGGGTCCAAGGTTTGGTGGAATCAGTGAAGGTGGTGTAGACTTAGATACTCAAACCCTAAGGGTCCACAAACAAAAGCTACACTGCTAGAACGTATTACCCTCTTGCTCGGTGAACAGTCTCTAGCTCACTTCATCCATGTGGACCTTCATTATATCTCTACCCTATATCCATTGTCCATTTCCACCTCCAGGATTCTGGTATGTCCTGAGTATTGGAATGAAGAAATGCCTCTATTTCACACTTTCTGTGGCATGTAGGGTCTCTGCACTGTCTGCCTCTAATAAAACATTGCCCCTGAACTCAAGCTAAGGGCCCACCTGGCTCTGTGCACATGGTTCCTTAGGCAGTGGCTTCTTCGTCCTCTTCATTTTCTATACAGTGGTATGTTACACCTTCATATGTTGAATTTTCTTTACGTTTCTCTCTTTCTACATATATTCATAGCTCTGTCTTTGCAGATCAGTGTTCACTTGAAGCTTTGCTAGTCTGTCAGCCCTTCTCCTCTCTTCAACCTTTCTTTTGCCCCAACCCCAGCCTGAAGCCCAAGTAAATTAGCTTCTCACCCCTGCCCCCTTGTTTAAAAAAAAATCCCATACTCCTCCAACACTGTCTGTTCTTGGATTTGCAGTCAGCAACCATCTCCAATAACCATCAGGCTGTCAGCTTTGCAGCTCCCTACCACCTCCCACCTCCCCCATCACTCACCAGAGGAAAAAGAGAGCCAGAGCAAGAGCTTGAAATATATCATGCAATAGTGTATCATGAATTTGTTGTGAATCACAGCGGTGAAGCAGGTTTATTTATTTCTGAGACCTTAAATCAATACAAAGTAGGTCTCTTAGTTCTGAAGCTGGGATGGAGTGTGAAAAAATGAGCCCATTGTACTCTTAAAACTTTGGGGAAAGGAGATGACAGCTATATAATTCCATTTACCAGGCACTAGGGGCTTTAATGTGAAGGTGACAGGGAACTCTTTGTGCATTTAGAGCACCATATCTTCTAAATAAAAGATCTGTAGACTTGATAGTGGAGCATAGCTTCAAGTTTAATAATCTCCAAGCATTAGACCGAGCCAGTATGTTCCCAAGTCAGAGAGGTCCCCCCTAAACACTCATAAATTAAAAGTGCAAGAACTGTACATGTTGGTAGATTAGAAATGCAAGGACTCCAGTCTTTTCTAGAAGGAAGACAGACCTGGGCCCTGGCTGTGCACAGACTGCTCTGTGAATATGATAAAGATGTGGAAATGAGACTGTTTAGAAACCTGACTCCTAGCTGTTCATCATCTAGAGAATGTTCCTTGTGCATGGATCCAAATCTAGCTATGTCCCTTCTCATTCAGATTGGCCATCACACAGTCTAATCAGCTTATGTACACAGTCAGGAGTGTTGAATTAAGAAAGGAGAAGCTTTAAGAGCTTTTTAGATTGAACTACAGATTACCATGCCTGGGCTTGAAGATTTTCTGACTGGTTTTTGACCGGTTCCTAATTTTAATAACGTCTCAGTGTCTGGGATTTAAGCCTTTTACAATAGTATGCACATCTAAGAAACTGAGAAATCAGCGTTGGTAAGAAAAAGAACCCACCCAATCACGGTGACCCACCATCAGTCACACA